AACGCTATCCGTGCCTCGGCAGACAGCTTAGGCATCAACAACCAAGCTTACGTCGACTGGACTATCTCCGTGACAAGGGACATCACACAGCACGAAGTGGTCAATGTCTACAACATCCTTGGCAGCAAGATATACAAACATCGGAACGACTTCCTCAACGAGGTCGACACCACCCACGCCACCTTCAAGGAGTTGGACGTGTCTATGACAGGCCTTCACACCAAGGCTGACACTGCTGGGAACCTCGCCCTCAAAGCTGTTGAAGAGAACAAACAGCTGAAGGCGGAACTGGTCACTGTTAATGCGGATCTGGAGGTTCTCAACCGGAACAACATGGAGCTCGTCAAATGGTACAAGGAACTCGCGGCTAAGTTTACACAGTTGGAGCAAGGCCTATCAACCCGCACCACGCTTGGTACCAGTTCCGCACCGGTCCCTGTCGTATCACAGGCCTCGCGTATCAAGGCATCAGAACCACCCAAGTACAAGGGCAACAAAGGCTCGGACATCACTCTCGAACAATGGTTACAGAAGATGGGCCTTTGGTTCCATGTTCAGAGCATCACCACGGACGACGACAAGATTACCCTGGCCCTCATGTACTTGGAAGGCGGCGCGCACGACTATGTCGAGGACTACGTCGAGACGGCATCGAACGGCGGAGCCCTTGGAACCTGGGCCGACTTCACCAACCGACTCAAGGCAGGCTATCGTCAACTGGCTCCGGAGAAGACGGCACAAACATCCCTCGAAGAATGGTGTTTGAAGACTCACTCCACCGTCATTCAGTTTGCCAAAAACTTCCGCCGCTACGCATCAAAGTCTGGGTACGCTGACGTAGAACTCATCCGGCACATCGACAACCAGGTCGGCAAGAACTCGCAGATTCTTACGGTTATGACGGCAATGCAGCAAGTCAACCCGATGCTGATTCTGACCAAATGGGAGCACTACCTGGACTGGGTACTGAAGCTGGAAATGGAAACTCGGGGAAATCAGGCCAAGTCGTCTTCGCAGCAGCACACGACTAGTCGCCCCCCACGGGACCCCAATGCCATGGACGTCGACGCAATGCGCAAGCCGGAGAAGCTCTTCAAGGAACAGCTCGAATGGCTCGACAAGAAGCTCTGTTTCCGTTGCGGCAAGCACAAGTTTACGACTGGCCAGAAGTGTTGCAACCCTCAGTACACGGGTTACTACGAACTTCCGGACATGAAGAAACAGCCGGCTGCCCCGACCAAGGTCCGCACGATGGATCCAGCCGATGAAGACAAATGGGAGTACATCCGCAGGGCCCTTGAGGAGTTTGAAACCAAGGGAAAAGGCAAGGGCAAGGCACCGGAAACTGAGACCGCCGCACACATCATCGAGGTCAAGGAATCCGAGGAGGATTTTCTGAGAACGGGTACTTTGAAGACTGACCAAAGTATCCGACTCTGTAATCATAGCGTAGACCTAGAGGACTCTTTTGTTCCGCGCTCGAATGTTATTTATCTCGCATCAGCACGTCGCCCGCGAAATTCGTTCGATCTCAAAGTTTCCCTCACTCAAGGTACGCATGAAGTTCAGTCAGAAGCCCTCCTCAATTCAGGAGCCTACTCTTGTTTTATCCACCACCGGTTTGTTCAAGAACACGGACTCACCCTACGACACCTCTCTCGTGAAGTGCAAGTTTTCAATGCAGATGCCACCGAGAATAAGAAGGGGTTAATCACACACTACGTCCGTTGTTTACTCCGTATCGGGGATCACCTTGCTTGGCAGTCGTTCCTTGTCACAGACATTGGGCGGCAAGACATCATCATTGGCATGGTGTTTCTACGTGAACATAACCCTGAACTCGATTGGAATGCAGGGAACATTGAATTTACACGCTGCCCCTCAACATGCACCTGGCACACAGTGCAGGATGAAGAACTACGGAGTTTGCAACTTCCCCGAGTGGAAGATGTTGCGCAGGGTCTGTCGCGGAGACTAGGCGCGACGGCCCGAGGCTCAGCAATCAGCGCCAAGTCGAGCATAGCGTAAGACTGAAGACGTAGGAGGAGAGGGAGAGAGAGGGAATATACAAGGCAGAGGGCGGGCGACGGTGCGGACAGAGGGGTCTCGCACGGTACGGCACCGACGTACCAGGGAACCGAACCAAGGGTCGAAAGGGCCGGGGCGGCACGGAGGCACAAACCTACCAGCAAGACGTAGCGGCACGCAGGCACAGGCTAGTCCCCAGTGACGTAAGTATATTAACAAGTACGAAGATACAGATAGTAACTCACCTAGTCCCCAGTGACGTAAGAGGTCGAGATGGGGACTAGGGGCTAAAGGGCTCTACTCTATATACCTGTAGACCGGTGCACAGACCATGTAGCTATTTGTACGTATTTGGCATGACCAGAGGCTTGAGGGCTTAAGTACTAGGCACGAGTCAGAGGGGTGTATGTCGTACTAACTACTGTGGGGTGATCCTTATCTAATCTAACGATCGTGAGGCCATGAGGGAGGGAGCGTGGTGGCGGTGCATTGCCGGGGGTATGTAGACGCTTAGACAGAGCGCCAGGAACCTGGATGCCGACGTGAGGCTGCACGTGGCGAACATTGTGGTGCTGCTGGAAAAGGGCGCTGTATGGAGCGCTGGTGGGCTTGGAGGGGGGAACGGCGGATTCCGAGGTGTTGTTGGCGCTGAGAGGTGAGAGTCCCGGTCCGTACGGTTGGAGAAAGGCAGGCAGAGGGTGTCATGGGCGCTATGCGGAGCG